AACATGGTGACTTTCATGAATGTGGAACGTCGTCAAAAGGTGCATTCAGTTTGAAAAACACATTAGGAGCGGGAATATCGAAAACTTTTCATTTTATTTATGCATAAATTGTGCAGTGCGTTTTTTCTAACGCTGGCCATAGAGATTCCCATCTCAAGGTGTCTACCCCATGCTAACTTATATTTTGGTGACTCGATTTTTGCCTTGATGGTTGAACACTGTCACTGTTGTCCTTTTTTGTTGTATCGAGATGCTACTTGAGCATCAACTGTTACATACTGAAGTATTAGTACCATCTAGAAAAACTAGAAATATTTTGATTTGATATTCGAGTAAATACTTCGTATTTCGAGTATGAGCATCTACTGAGTTTTATTTATATCAACCATTGTTAAAAAATTGATCGAACGTTGTTTCGATAGAACTTTCTTCGCACCAAAAGTATAATGAAACCTATTCAGCATTTTCGAGTTGAGTCTGTTCTTCACACAATTTTGTGATGACCTTATCAACATTTACTATCAACACGTATACCACCTTGGATTGGTGCAGTGTAATACTTACTAAAAATAACTGTATTGTATTGCCAAAATTATCTGCGAAAATCGAGTGAGCCATTCCATCAATTTTTTGGGGGAAATAAATAAATATTCTTAACAATTTACCATGCTTACAATAAATTTAAAACGTCTGCAAGATCTCAAAGTATTCATTTTTGCAACTCTTGAGTTATTCACTAAAATAAATTGACTGATCCATATATTTTTTTGAGTCACTGTAAAAGCAAATCTAAAAAATATGAATGCAATGATAAATTACGAAAATATACTGATGATTAGAGAGCGGATTTTATGAAATTTGCATATCCGTTATTTTTTGCATATAAGTCTTGATATTTAATATGTGAACGAATCATGCTAATTAAAAATGAATACAGCTATAAAAAAATTGCATATTTGCATATATTTGCCTTCTGCTGCATATTTCACGTAACAGGTGCATATTTTGCATTTTTATCAATTTTTGTGCTACTTTGAAAAAAAAAAATTGCCATTCGATCGGCATTTGTCTAGAAAGACGAAATTTCATGAATCATATTGCAAATATTGTGCTGAGCTTCAAATAACTGGGAAAGGTTTGGGTTTTATGGTAGTTTGGAGGAACCACTGGGTGTTAAGCCATCCTTCCAGGTAAATTCGGGTCTAATTACTTTTGGAAATACCGTTCATTTCAATATTTTTGTTCGTTTGTATTAATGGTATGTTTTATGGTTGTCGAAGGGACGTTATCCTATTATTTTTCATCGTGAATTTGCATTTAAGTATTTAAAGCGATAGAGATGTGTGTCAATATGTAGATAACTCAAATTAATTTATGAATTAAACCTTTTCCTGAACTTATTCTTCAAGAAGGAACTGTGTTTTGTTGTGCCTGCTCTAATCCGATAAGTATTTTTACATCTGTGGACGCAGTACGCAGTTTTTCTATTTACAAATACATACTTTAGAATCACCCGAAAAATTTTCGAAAAATATTTGAAAATAAATTGTTACCAAAATAGTAATTAAATAGTCGATTACTACTATTTTTAATTCGTTCTGTTTACCTATATTTATTTTTTAGTATAAGAATATTATCTTAAAAAATGTCATTTATTTGTCAGTGAGATCTAATTAAACACTTTGCAATGTTATTTATGTATTTTTTGTAATAAAAGGTACGGTGTTTTTGCAATTTGTAAATAAATTTAGTTCGGTTATTACGCTTTTTTTTAATTTTTGGAGCATATGCAACTGCATATCTCTGCATATATTAAGAAAGTTATTGCATATTTGCATAAATTTGATGCATATCATATGATCATATTTCCCAAAATTTTGCTGCATATTTTCCGCTCTCTACTGATGATGTTTTCCACATTTTAGATAGGATTTATTCGGCAAAATCTTGAGATGACGTCTTCAAGTTTTTGGGCTTGATAAACAGATATATTTTGATTGAAAACCTACCATGTCAAACAGTAACTTCAAAACGTCTGCAATATTTCAAAATACAGTTTTGCAATTCTTGATTCAATCAATAAAATAAATTGACTCAGTGATTAATTTTTTTGAGACACCCCCTGTAAGCAAAACTAAAAAATATGAATGGAATGATAAATCACAAGTATACTCTCATCCTATTTTGGACATTTTAGATAGGATTCATTTGGCAAAATTTTGGGCTGACGTCATCAATTTTTTGGAGGGGATAAGTAAATATATTTTGAATACAAATTTATTATGCTTATCATATGTTTAAAACATCTGCAAGATTTCAAAGCATTCGATTTTGCAGATTCAAAATTAAATTGTAGGTGAAACGAAGTTCACGGGGTCAGCTAGTCATACAATAATTTGAGGTAACATGATGAAATTTTGCCTTGAGAAGAATACATATCATGGTCTAAAAACAAATTTCGTGCATTTTTTAGAGCATGGCAGAAATCGAAACTCAAAAATAGTGGAATATGTTCCAGAATGGGATGATTAATGGAATTTTTCAGTGATCCGTTTCCAAATTTTTTAAAGAGGGCGACATTTGTTGAAATATTGTCTGTAACAAATCTAATCACAATGTAGCCGCAGTTTGTCAGAAGTTGTAAAATGTTTTTTTGTTAATAAATATAATTCCTGAGTTGTTAACGACGAGTGGAAAAAATACCCTGCTGGTATTGTATATCTAGTACTCAATCCCTGCACCACAAAACAAAGCATCTTGTTGGCTACTTTTGGCTTAGTTCCAACACGAGTAGAACTTGTTGTCTCTAAGCCATAAATTCGATCTTCTGCCCTACAGTAATGAACTTTTTCTTTTATGGACATGTCGTCCATTATTAAGGAGCAGATCCTTTCAACTGGCTTTTTTAATTGACCAATTTCTGCACACAATCGCTCTTGGATCAGCTTATTTTGACCATGAAAGTCTCCAAGGAATCTGGATATAGTCGATTTTGAAGGCAGTTTTAGCAAGTTATTGTGGCAAAATCTGTAACCTTTAGGCGAACAAAATCTCCAGACAGTACACAGACGAAGAGACATTTCTGACCACCTAGGTATTTTTTTATAGTGATTTTTTATCAAGTCCAAAAGAAATATTGACTTTTCATCTGCGTTGTTTGCGTCTTCTATAATTTTGGTTATTTTTAAAGCATCCAAATTTTTTACTTTTTCTTCTAACTCTCTCATTTTTGATAAACATTCAGAATTCTTTCGTTTCATTCTACTCAATTGTTGCTTTAAAACTTTGTTGTGGTACCTGAGATCTTTAAGTTCTTGTTTATCCTTTGCACTTAAATCATCACATGTGGAAACATTAGTTTCCTTATTAGCATTTTGGAATGAGGAAACGGAAGTTGGATGAGTGTCTTCTAAAAAAGGATTTGTTGGTTGGGTACTAGAAATGTCAGGATCAGTAGGATTCTGGAATGATGACAAAGATTTATAGATCATGTGAGGTACGTAGATTTTTATGTACATACGAATATAAACGGAACCGCTTGTTTATTAAGACGAGTACTTTTTGCGCTTCTAACAATACATTCTGTTGCAAAATGTTTGGAACACACAACAGTATGATCGTTTATCTTGGTCAGATCTAAAATAATTCGAATAAAATATTTTTTGAGGAACTTGTTTTATGAAATACCACAAAATTTTGAAAGTGATTCAAACCATTTGTTTCTAAGATCTACTTCCGCAGGAATTCTAAAAAGTGGATTCTGTGTATTACCACAAATCATACACTTTCTTCCCATATTATAAAGACCTAGTTTTATTAACAACGATAATAACTCATGCCCAAAATTATTTTGGGTTTGAAAATTGTCAAAGAAAATTTCTGACAGTAGTGACAGTTTAGTTCAAGACATTGCCGTGGGTGGCGTATGCTTATGTACCCATGGATTACTACGCGGGAACACATTTTTAAAAAATTGAAACGGCCGTATATACACGTTAGTGTATATTAATGAAGTCGGCCATGATATTTACTAATTTATTGCCTGAATGTTTAATGTTTATATTTTGACTTGTGCTGAATCAAATGTAGTCTGATAGTAGCATGAAATAAAAATATTATAATTAATTTTATTAATAAATAATAAAAATTATTGACAGCAAAACTAAAAATATACAACAGAAAAGAAATGTATATTTCGTCCTACCTTATAAAATGGACGAGATGAAGATTACTGATGTAGACAAATTGTATCCTCTGATAGAAAATTAGAAGGGAGAAATGGAGGCGCTCGACATCAAACACATAGCCCTAATACGTGGGAAAGAATATGTTAACGAAAACTATCTAAATAAAATCGTGGAATATATCTTTCATGGAACAGATATTTATGTTAAAATCTGTAACAATAGAAGAGTTAGAACAACTACTAAGGCTGACGAAGGAGAGGGACGAAGAATTACATCGAAAAAGATAATTATTAAAGACCAGGGTGGTAGAAGCTACAGGGATATATTAAAAGACCTGAAAGGTGAAGTGAACTTAGAACAAACGGGAGCTAAGATAAAATCTGCCAAAAAGACGAATAGAGGAGATCTCTTGCTAGAAGTTCTAGGAGGAACGGATACGCCCAAAGCTCTTAAAGAAACTATACAAAAAAAGAATAATGAAGACATGAAAGTAGAGACAAAGATTAAAGGTGCAATAATATACATCACAGGTATAGACCCTAGTGTAGAAGAGGATGAAGTGAAAAAGGCAATTAAGGAGGAGAGTGGTGTATACGTAACGGAGGCAGACATAAACGTGGTAGCAATGCGTCTTACACAAAAAGAGAGCCCGACGGCAACAGTAGCTCTCAAGAAAGACATAGCTGCAACTCAGGGTGGAATACAAATTAAGTGGAGTTACTGCAGGGTCCGATATAGGATATATCTGCTGCGTTGTTTTAAATGTCAAGAAAAAATATAGAATTCTTGGTGGTCGCAGAACCAAATAAAAATATGGTCAGAAAACAAAACAACAACTGGCTCTCCGACCGGAACTCGGATGTGGCTATTAAAATTAGAAATAGGCATATGGGAATTAAGGATCACACAAAGGGCAATAAAGGGTGGATCAGAATAGAAATGACAGGATATCATATATACTGTTGTTATATATCCCCTAATATTGAGAGAAATGAGTTTGAAGCTATCACGGACGAAATTATGACAGAAGTTAAAACACGGGCGAGGGAAGCTATCATTATGGGTGACATAAACGCCAAATCATATCAATGGGGTTTAGCAACAGCTGATGTCAGAGGGGAATATTGGACAATGTGGATGGCAGAAATTAACAGCATAGTAATAAATAAAGGAACGACAGCCACATTTATACGCGGTGAAAGCAAACCCTATATTGACGTTACATGCGCTACGATAAAGATAACTAAAGACATCAAGTCATGGAAAGTATTAGACGACGAGGGGGAGATTCTGACATATTATCAGTACATATACTTTGAGATAGGCAAGACTACTAATCCAGGAAAAAGAGAGGTAGTAATGAGAAACATGTCCCTTTTGAATCAGGAGATGTTCATAAAAAAACTAAAAACATACTAGCAGCAAGTGTGGGCGAATGTTGATAGTAACAAAGACCCGCAAGAGGTGAATAAAAGACTGGTAAAGATACGCAGCAAATGTTTGGTCGAAAAGGAGGGCAATAGGAGAAAGAAACGCGTAGTACCGTACTGGTGGAATACGGATATAGAAAATGCGCGGAAAGAATGCACAGCAGCCAGACGCAAGTAACACGATGCAAGAACAGGCAGGAATACAGAGGCAGAACAAGGGAGGAACTGCAGGAAACGTATCGCAACAAGAAAAAGGCACTGCGAAGACAAATTGAAGCGTCTAAATGAGCACACTGGAAACAGATTTACCGAGAGCTCGAGGATGAGGAGACTGTTGCCTTTCTTGAGAAGGCTGTTGGAAAACCGGATATTCTAAGTCTTATTAGGGAATATACTAATGACATTCATGGTGTTCTTATAATGCTTCACGACATTTACCCTCTTGTGTCGCACAAAAACTTGAAAAATCGATGCAAAAAAATTCAAAAGAGAATTAAAAAAGCCTTAAGTTCCCTGCCAGAGGAACATGGCACAGATCTATCCGGTCTGTTTCAGACTCCCACGACGTCCACTTTGTAAACGTAATTTACTGCAGTATCCTACACTTTCGGTATTTTCTTATAAGGTTTTTAAATTCTTATAACCCCTAGTAAAATTCGATTCCCATTATAATAAAAATACTCTCTTCCCACAGTTCTTTAAAAATACTGTAATATACACTAACATAGCTTCTATAATGGCTAAGTACAACGACTTATTAGCTTTCGTTACCTATGAAAAGCCGAGTTTTCTGATAGTCACAGAAACGTGGTTATCCTCGTCAATACCAGATCATCTTTTCTCCTGTGACGAGCCGTCACTAAATTCGTTCACGAGAAAATTGTAACTAAAACGACTAATAACAAACCCTCAAAACATAACTCGAAAATTTGCAAATCTTAATTAATTAACACGCATGTTCTAATCGGCATATAGTACCATTCAAATAGATAAACAAAATCAACTATCAATCCCCAAATGCAGGAACAAAATTCGCGTATTCGCAAATTGCGAATAACATTGCGCTTGCCAGACATTGCAAATAACTTGTACAAAATAATACGCCAGAAACATCGCCAATCGCAATTACTATCATCTAAAATTGTATCCAAACTAAAACAGCTGCAAACGAAACCCAGACACATAAACAACCTCAGAAAAAACGCCCTCTTTAAAAATAGCTACAACAAGCTAACCACATCTAGCGATGACGACATGAAAAGCATGACGCAAGTTGAAAAAACCCGAAAATATACGACACTAACCAATAAAAAACGTCAGCCGCGGAACCATAATTAAAAGCTAAACCCTATAACACAACGAAATAAAACCTAAAATCCCGTACCGAGTAATACACTAATCATGAAGAAATATAGTCCACTAAAGTCGCGGGAGACAAGAATAATGAGTAAAAATCCCTATATAAGCGGTAGCGCCGAAAACGGTTTGAGTAGAAGATTCCAGTTGTGGCCGAAGGCGCTGCCGAATCGTTCGTCGAGATTTTTATTAATTTTGCTGAATTTTGAAGAAATCCGAACTTAGAAGAATTTGCTGAGCCCGAGAGGAAGATAGAAAAATTTTCAATGCTGCAGCTGTGTAAGTCTACCTTTTAGTCATTCTTAATTTATCTTGCTTTCCGTTTTTTCGTCATGTGTTCTCGAGTTCGAATCGTACATGTGTAGCGTTTAATATGCATTTTCTCCGTTACGTTGGGTGTGAACAGTTAGCGCCGGCACCGAAAGTAATCTTTAGTGCTTCCATATGTTCCCGTTTGCAAGTGGCACGTTTAGCCTTGCGTCGGTTCTTGATTGTTGGGGAGGATTTTTCGATAAATTACCGTTTGTTTTTATGATAATTATTCCAATATTTCTGTAAATTGCCGATTTAACTCTTTTGCTTGCGACATAAATATTTTATATGCGTTTTTTGGAGAGGATTTTTCTGACTTTTACCGTTTGCTTTTTATGATAATTATTCCAATATTTCTGTAAATTGCCAATTTAACTCTTTTGCTTGCGACATAAATATTTTATATGCGTTTTTTGGAGAGGATTTTTCTGATTTTTACCGTTTGCTTTTATGATAATTATTCCAATATCTCTTTAAATTTGCCGATTTAATTCTTTGCTTGCGACATGAATATTTTATGTGCGTTTTTGGGAAGTTCCCGAATTGAAACCTTTTAATCTAATTTTCTTGCTGTCGATTATTTTATATTGAATTTTTGCCGTTTAAATATGACTCCGTTCTCTGATTATTTTGCTATAGTATTTGGAAACCTCACATTATATTTTATTTTAATCGTCTCATTGTATTTTAGCGCATTTATGATACTAATGTCCCAATGTTAGAGGACCCGGGTGGGTTAGGTAGCATCGCGCTTGCCTGCCACACCTTGGGTCGTGGGTTCGATTCCCGCCCTGCTCTGGGTGTTGTGTATGTCCCCCGTTACCCTGTAATTGGGCCTCCGGCCTGTTGGGTAACGTTAACCAATAAAATAAAAAAATAAAAAAAAATAAAAAAATGTTTAACTGCATGTATAAATTATGACTGTTTATTTTTACATGTATCTAACTGTCCTGTAACCATCAATTTTTCTCGTGAACAATTGTTGTGCTCGGCATATTTAGCTAATCGATGTATGTAAAAACTCATTTATCTCTCTTTTTACATGTTTATATTCATAAGTTGTCGTAGATTTAAGTGCATGATTTTAATCCGTTATTTTTAGTTGTTCTTATAATCAGTGGGGATTTCTTCGAATCCACTGAATTATTGGTTTTATTATTATTTCAGTTGTTTAATGATTTAATTAATATATAAATGCCCTATCGCAATTTATTTAAATAATTAAGTAATTATTCGATTTCGTAGTTAGTAGTTTTTTTGTTTTTTGTTTATTTATCACGCTCGTAATATCAATATGGTTTAGAAGATGTTGCATTTAATTAAGGATTTACCGAATTAATTTTTAGTCTTTTTGCATGCTGATTTTTCTAGGATTAAGTTTATTAATTAAAAATGTGGGTTATGTTCATAGATTTTAAGAGTTTTATTAGTGGAATATAATTGCGTAGCGCTTTAGAAGATAGTTTTGCATGTTGTTTTGTTTTTTCGTGTTATGTGTGTGAATTTATTTTATGTATTATTTTTCTGTTGATTATTTACACATTTACTCGATTATTCTTTTGACATGCTTATAATGCTTTCTTTTAATATACGTATAAAAATGTTATAAATGTTTAATTATTACCTCTTCCCCTACATGCAGTTTAGCTCTTCCATTTCCAAGGAAATGGGCCTACACCCAAATAAATAATTTTGTTAGTGTCCAAAAGCTCGGCCGCAGTCAAAACTATTTGGGCACGACACTCCATGGGGGATTACACTATCTTTAGGACAGATCGCACTCGTACCAGAGGAGGGGGCGTTTGTATTTTTATTGCGAATTACCTTTTATCTGAATTACATGTAGCACAACTCAGTTTTGACACTGGCAACATAGAGAGTCTTGTTCTTCGGATTTCCTGCAAGAACTTCTGTTTTGTACTATCATGTGTTTACAGACCACCTGGTACTGATTTAACATCAGATCACAATTTATTCTTAAAATTATCAGATCTAGTTGAGGCTTATGAAAATGTATTCGTGTTCGGTGACTTTAATATGCCCGATCTAAAGTGGCCATTAAACCCTAAGTTAAAATGCAGTCAGTCTAGTCAACTATTGGTTGATTTTTTGATGAGCACTAGAATGCTGCAGCTGGTAGACCAGCCAACGAGAATTCGGCGAAACCAACAACCATCAACGCTAGATTTAGTGATGATATCGGATGCAAATTTATTGGCGAACTTACCCGATAGGTAAGTCGGATCATGTTCTAATTAAGCCCCTTATTCTGTAATTTTTCGTTAATGAACGGTTTCGTTCGTAAACGTATGACTCTCAACGAATAATATAACGAAACCGTTCAATTTCTTATTCAGTAATACATTCGTCGGGCGCTCAACGATTGAAACCTCGTCAACGAAAAAGCCGTATGTTTTTAGCGAGATAGTACCATAAAATCTGACTTTGCTGCAAAACAAAGTGAGGTTAGAGTGCTAATTGCGTCAAGTGTGGCGTGTTGTTTTGTTGTGATCACGTTCAGGCTGTGATTTGACTGTTTGTTGAATAATGGAACCCCCTCAAAAACGCCCCAGAAAAGCAAAGACAACGCACCAACAGTTCCAGTTGTATTTACACGAATTAGAAACAAATCCTGATTTTAGAGAACACAAATTTAATGCAGATGAACCCGCTACTTTAAACACAGCATGGCTTACTTTAAGTAATAAATTAAATGCAAGTGGAGGGCCCACCAAAGACGTAAATGGATGGAAGAAGGTGCATAACTGGCAAAAACCCATTTTGTACCTGTAATGATGAATGGAGTTTTTTAGACTTTTGCAGATTGGAAATCTGCAGTAAGGAAGAGAGCTCGCCTGATTCAACATTCGTTAAAAGAAACCGGTAGAGCTAGAGGAACGGTTACTACAGATCACTGGAAAAGTAGTGGTCGAGGGATTGCCCGATGTCCCTGAAATTGGAGTCGAGAATGAAGAACATGAAACAACTGAGGCCACTGTTTTAACTGCCAGTGCTTCACAACCACCATTGTGCATCTCAGCCTCTGAACGTATTATCAAAACAAGTGGAGTGAAAGTTCTGCAACAAAATAAGAAGTATGAAAAGCCAAAATGCACAATTAATTCCACAATAAACAAATTTACCAACGTCAAAGAAACGGAGGCCTTAGAACTTAAAGCAATAAATGAAAAGTTAGAAAAACTTATTGAACAAAATGAAACAATAATTTGGTTAAAAAAGAAGAAGATGGAATTAAAGTACAACGTGTCTTGATGCAACGGAAGGTGGAATTGTTCAGGAGCAAACAAATTTGTAATTTCATTAGTTTATTTCATTACAGTAAGTGAAGTATTTGTAATTAATCAGTAAAATAATTTCGAATAACCAAATTACGTGTATTAATGCCTTCCTGATAAAGATCGGCGAAATCTACGTTATCGTGGTCATTGTCAGGATCATCATGGTCTTCTAATTCGTTTTCCACATTTGCCCTTTTTAAAATATTATGTAAAGTTGCACAAGCAATAATCAATTTGGCAGCAAAGGCGGGTTTGTAATGCAAAGTTCTGTCTTTTAGCAAACACCTAAATGTTCCCTTTACAACCCCAATACAGCGTTCAACAGTGTTTCTCGCTCTAATATGGACTTGAGAATAGCGACCTTGAGGTGTTTCTGGATTGACGCCAGCAATGGGCAATAGTAAAAAGGGTTGCAGTGGGTAACCTGCGTCACCTAATAACCAAGAAGTTCTGTCGCCGTTTCTATAATTGTTTCTCAGGTGTCGAAATATTGCGCTCATTTGCCAAATCGCAGCATCGTGAACACTGCCTGGGTATCTACAGTTTAAACTCAAAATTTTTAAAGCTGAATCGCATATAATATATATATATATACGGAATGGGACTATTTGGCGCGGCCGACTTGGCGCGGCCAACTTGGCGCGGCCGACTTGGCGCGAGCCATTTTGGCGCAAAGACAACTTGGCGCAGGGACACTTTGGCGCAAGCAATCTTGGCGCGAGCCATCTTGGCGCGAGTACGTCGGTATATAATATAAAAAATATTTATTGTTCGTACTTTGGTTGGCACCCTGTTATTTATGCTAAGTGTAGGCAACCAAATACACATTTTCATTCGCACAAATTCCAATAACTAAATGATCCACGGAGCAAGAAGTTCCACGTTTAGGAGTATGTTTATAATGGGGTGCAGGGCGCGAAGCGCCCGTGTGTCCATTAAAAAGTCGACATTACCCCTCCCCGCGTTTGAGCCTATAAAAATTGGGTTATGCTAACAACAGGTGCAATTTTTGTATATTTATATCTATTTTTCTTGGTGCAACTTCATTCGCGTCAAGATGGCTCGCGCCAAGATGGCTTGCGCCAAAGTGTCCCTGCGCCAAAGTGTCCCTGCGCCAAAATGTCTCGCGCCAAGTCGGCCGCGCCAAGTTGGCCGCGCCAAGTCGGCGGCGCCGAATTGTCCTAGACCGATATATATATATATAGAATATAATAAAAAAAAAAGTACCATGTTGGGACAACTTGTAGGTAACTTATTTCACAGGATTTTTATTGGAGCAATATTAAAAATTGATTTGAAAAAATACCAGCAATTGTGAAATTGACACTATTCGAAATCTGGCTTTGCACACTATTAATTGCTCATTAAAAAGTAATATTTTTTTTATTTTTGCGAACAAAAAATAACAATTTTATTTATCATTTTTATAAAACTTACTTAAATTTGCGCTTGCTCTGCTGGAACGCGTTTGCGCAATTGTTGTGAAGGGGTTGTGACTTAGACACATATATTTCGATTTCCCGTTTATTTCACTGCCCACATAACAAAACTTACATGACAACTTTATACATGGCCATGATCACATGGCAACTTCTTCTCTAGCTTACACACATTCTCTCTCCCTTGTCTCTTCGTTGGCTCCTCTATTTATCACTTCCTCGTAACGAGGGCAACTGACCATATTCTTACAAAATACAGAGGAGTCAGCGATTACAAAACATTTGGACAAGCAACCTAATTTAATATAGCTAACAAAACTATGGCGAATTGAATTTATAATGCAACAATAATGCAACAATAACCCACTTTACTTTACAACACCTCCCCCCTAATTTTGAAAGTTGTACCTAAGGTTGGGATTGGTGCAACTTTCATCAACACCACCATTAGGGTTACAATTATCACTATCCATATCTACCCTTCCTAGTTCCAATAAGGACCTACGAACAGCAGGAACTGGCTGCTCCAGATTATCATGTCTAGTCATGCTGCTTGTGGTCCTCTTACAAAAATTAATCTTCCGCAAAAACATTATTACTGCTACAACAATTCCTAACAAATATAACACATACATTGAAAAGATGTGCATTCTATGCGAATTTTGGTTATTCTCTAAATAATTAAGTTTTTGGTTACGTTTTAAATCGTCGATTTTTACGCTTATTGATTTCAATTTTTGAATATTATTTCTATCGATCACTAAAGGATTATATGACAGCTCTGACAACTGGGAATTTCCAAACTCAGACATATTTATGTGAATTAAATCTGTGATATCTAATGGAGGAATCAAATTCGTGAAGATTTCGCTCGAGAAGAAATTTTGTGTATTTAGTATTAGTGATTTTGTGTAAGCGGTACAATTCGAATTTAGAGGTCTATTTTGTAACTCTCAACGATCTCGCTAGAGCATCGTTAGCTTACGATAATCGTTTCCATAACGATTTTGGTACCGATGGCGATTTTGTAACAACTATCGTCTCGTTAGATAGCGATCGCATCGTTAGAATGTCATCGTTCCGGAACGATAGGTTTCAGTTGACCGTTAAGTGTCAGAACACGTTAGAAAAATATTTATACAATGGAGAGGAACGTTTTAGTGCAAATATTGGTAGAAGTAGAGAGAAGGTAAGTGTAACTAATGTATTTTTGAATTAGGTTATTATATTTTTTTTTACTGCAGGGACAGAATGAGAAATTTGTCTCGGTTTTTAAGAGATGTAAACGACCCCTTCTTCGTTCCAGAAGAAACCTTTAGGAAGACCTACCGACTGTCAAGGCAAGCGGCAAGGGATGTATTTCAAGAAATACTGCCGCGAATGGGACGAGGAAGGAGGGCAACAAGAACTCCGTCAGTTGTAAGATTTATGGTTTCCTTACATTTCTTTGCCCAAGGAAGTTACCAAAAATCTGTGGGCAAAGATCAACACTGCGCCGTCTCGCAAAGTGTAGTCAGCAAATCTCTGAAGGAGGTAACAAACCTTTTAGTGGAAATTGCTCCAAGATACATACAGTTTCCCAGAGATATGCAAGAGGCTGTCGCCGTGAAAGCGGGATTTTACGAAAAATTTGGGTTTCCCGGTATAGAGGGATGCATTGACGGAACTCATTTTCCCCCTCCTGCAGAACATCCTGTTCATCCTGGCAGAGTGTATGTGAACAGAAAGAACAGTCATTCCATAAACTGTCAGCTAATATGCGACTCTAATTTGAAAATTTTAAATATCAATGCTCGTTTTCCCGGGTCAGTTCACGACAGTGCCGTTTAGATGATGAGTGATGTTAAGGAAATTATGAGAAACAACCATTTGCAGGAGAACAACATGGCTTTTAGGAGATTCAGGGTATCCTTTAGCACCGTTTCTTTTGACCCCTATCATTGGAGCCGAAGATAATACACCAGAGGGCCGTTACAACAAAGCACATACTCGTGCGAGGAACTGTGTTGAACGTTGTATTGGTCTGCTGAAATCATATTTTAGGTGTTTGCTCAAAGACAGAGTTCTGCACTATTCACCAGAAGTTGCAGGAAAAATTATATACTCATGTGCTGTTTTACACAATATCTTACGGATAAGAAACATTGAAAATGACGAAATCAACATTGTCTATGACAATGAGAACGACAATAATGAAGAACTGGAATATGAAGAACACAATTTACTGCATGAAGGGCGTATCACAAGAAATAATTTAATACTACAACATTTTCAATAATATATTTATTTTTTTAAAACAAAATAATTAAACTATTAAACAGAATTGTCCAAAACATCAAAATTTACACTAGGATATTTTAATTTCAATTTCATTTCTTTTAATAATAATAATAATCTTTATTGGTGCTTTAACAATATAGTCTTACACAAGTCAAGTTAACAAAACATAACAGAACACATATCAACTTACAATAAAGCAATGGTCAATCATGCACGACAATTATTGGAACTGAAGGAAATACTGAAGGTATTCATCAGTGTCATAAAATGCACCGTTGAATAGATGTTGTTTAACTTTATTTATAAACAGCTTTTGGGGCAGTGATTTAATGTCGGTAGGCAAAATATTATAAAATTTCACTCCAAAAAATCTGGATGCCGTTTGCGTTCTTCGGAGTCTTATATTCTGTTGGCATAGCTTATCCCTATTTCTTGTATTGTGACCATGTATGTCAGCATGCGAAGAGAAGTAACTTAAATTAGATTTAATATAATTTACACAAGTAAGGATATACAAAGAGGGAAGCGTTAATATTTTTAGGTCTTTAAAAGCATTTCTACAGTCCTCTCTAAAACCCAGGTTTGCGACTATACGAATAGCGCGTCTCTGGAGAGCAAAAACGCGGTGGCGGCACGAAGCATGTCCCCACACAGCGAGTCCATAAGTTAGACTTGAGTGAACTAACCCGAAATATGCTGTTTTCAGCGTGTCACGAGAGACATGTTTGCTGAGATTTCTCAATAAAAACAATTTTTTGTTCAGCATTTTTTCGAGATAGTCTCCATGGTAATGCCAAAGTAGTTTGGAGTCAATTTTTAGGCCCAGGAAGCTAGTTTCGGTGGCGTAATCGTTTGGATAATCCTTCAGGGTGAACAACATCTCGACGCTTTTTTTTTGTTTACCTTTAGGGTATTACTGTTGAACCAGTCGGAGGCCCTCAGTCGAGTCTCCCGGCCACAGCTCAGCACTTTTCCTATATCTTCTCCTTCCGTTGTAATTGTGGTATCATCAGCAAATAATACCACATTTGCATTTCCTATATACGCTTTTAAGAACACTTCACGCTTTTTTAACGCAACCAATTGTTTTAAGTTATTATTAATTTCTTCTAAAGTTCCGTCATTTTTTTCCAGGACTGATTTAAGTGACGAACTCAACGTTTTATTTTTATATTTTTTTTTTGGGACGGGTTTATCTTTGGATGTCGAAGGAATGACGTTGGGTGGGGCAGCAGGAGGTGTGTCGTAGGCAGGTGTGGGAAAAGTATCTGTTTCAATGGGATCACCGGGATCATCAAGGTCTACACTATTCTCACTGCCATGACCTAGGACTTTATTAAAAAAATGTAATTAAATATTGAAAGAACGCTGTTGTAAAGGATACAGATACATAATACGATTACGACTCCAAAGTATTACTGCCCATTCACAATGGACATAAGGCATAACAAGTACATAAAGCTTACATAAATATATAAAGTTGAAACGATGGAAAACGTATACGCAAACGTATTCACAGTGGACGAACTTAATTTTTATGCTTATGAACGTTTTATGTAATCCTTGTGTGCGTACACAAAGTTGAAATAAGTTCAACTTTGTACACAGATTATGTCAAAATTATGTTAAAATCTAGGGACTTTTCAATGCTGCTATTGAATTCCCTTTAACAGGTGGCGCTTGGCACTTCACAGCCTATGCTTAGCCCGCAGTTATTCTGTTCTGCGTTTGCGCAGTTTAACAATTCTTACAGAGTTCACTCTGTCCACTGTGAACCTACATAAGCATAACCCAGACACAAACCAAAAACGTAAATTATGTTATGCTCTCGTTCTTATGCCTTATGTCAATTGTGAATGGGCAGTTAGAAGATAATGTTCTAAAAACTACTTAACTAATCACTATTATCTTTAGCTGAACTATACCAAAAAAATTTTTCCACATGAACTCGTGCCATATTTTTCACGAATAATGTGTCTTTGTTTTATTATTCAACATTTTTCAAACAAATATTTTTTATACTTACATTGTGGTACACCTAATTCAGGTAACGAAACCAACCCCGCAACAACGACTTTCCCCGTAATACCTAGGAGTCGCTGCTCCAGGTCTGTTAAAGTACCTGCAGCAGCTTCTCCACCTCCAGTTCCTCTTTCATACAGTCGTAAATTCCTCGCCTTTTTCCTAACATTAAATTTCCAATCTGCAAATCTCTGGAACACAGTGAAATTTACTTGGGTACCAGACATACGTAACATTATAATTAGATTGCCCTATGTTATATTCTTGGTGTTGTACTAAAAAATACAGAGGTGATGGTTTATAGTGTAACAGTATTTATAAACATAAAACTTCTCAGTTCTCATAATTGACTGATAATGAGTAAACACTATGTTCACTTCATCTAAAACAAGGGTAGGTGTTGGTGTAAGCAGAATAATTGCTAAGTGTAGCATAAATTATAGTAAAGTACACATTTTTAAAAATAGTGTTTGGGTGATTCATTACACATACCTCTCTCCACTGCTTAACACTTTTCTGTGGTCCTCCCACAGAATTGAGTTTGGCCACCAACCCTTCCCAGATCTTTTCCAAAAGATCTGGCTTGTCTGCCACGAACTTTTGGGCCCTAAAATCGGCGTTACTCTCTAACTCGTGCACATAGAGCTCGTATTGCTGTTGGGTGATACGCTGGGCCCTTTTACGTTTGTCCATTGCTTCTGTGAACGTATTGTAAACTGAATTTCGTGTTAGTGTGATTATTTTGACGTTTTTCTTTCATAATTATTGTTTACTTGCATGCTATAAGTTATAACTTCACAAAATTTTACTAACTTTCAAAACAAATGTCACACAGAGAACAGCGTAATCCACAGCCTACACAAATTCAAATACTACCGATTCTAAAAACATTAGATTCATCGTTCCGCTAACGATTTCAAAACTTTACGATTACGATAGTGTTTATAAAATTGGAAATTTTTACAATCTCGCTAAACTGATTTTACGATTGCTTCTAACGATTATCGTTTGGGAACGAGATCGTTCTGGAGCGATAAATTACAAAATAGACCCCTAAATCAAGCTCCTTTATATATTTATCATAATATTGTTTAGACTTGACTTTACTATTTAATAAATTTTTGCGAGCAATTTCATTACTATGTTGCATTCTTGATTTTAGTTCATTGTAGTAATCATCATAGCCATAAAACGTTTCGAGACTTCTAGTTATAGACAAAGGTAGTTTCGCTTTTCTACCATATAGCTTCACCCTCTTCGTCTTGGTAAATTCATAGCTTCAGCTACCTATCGGAGTCGTCCTCTTCGTGTACGGTTGAACTCAGTCAATGATGTCGTTACGGTGTTGAAAAAATTCAAAAATCTTCAAGGTTAGATAAATGGAATAATATTCGTGTATCCAGGGATCGCACTCCAATGCAAATAAACTTGTATAAATCTGTGAAAGAGGAATTGGGTCGTCGTTTATCTTTGGGTGAAAATAATCTAAAAATAATTTATCGCAACGGAATTCCCACTATTATCACTCAGGAAAACTAATACAGTCCAACAGGTCTAGACCTTCCTTCACCTTATATTATCAAAATGTTCATAGTTTAGTTTCCAAATCACATAATTGTTACGTCAGTTCCTGTGACTTGTCTTATGATATCATTGCGTTAAGTGAAACATGGTTGAATGATTCTGTTTATAATACTGAGTTGTTTCCATCCCACTATCATGTTGTACGATGTGACAGAAAGTTTTCCACTGTGGGTCGCACCAGGGGTGGTGGAGTTCTTGCTGCTTTCTCTGAACTTATCAATGCTGATGCTGTTGACACTACGGTTTTAACCGACATGGTTCCACTGATTGATATAATTATTTGCAGATGTTCGGTTGGTAACCTTAAATTCTTACTTATTGTTATCTACATACCTCCGGACATATCGTCTCATGACTTTGAATTGTTTTTTAATGCGCTAGAAACGTTCATACTAAACGATGAAATCATACTCGTAGGTGACTTTAATGTGCCCCATTTTATACAGGAGGGCTTTAACTGCCCTAAAACCTACACTCTAAAACAATTTTGTGATACTGGTCAACTTGTACAGAGTAATTCAATTCTTAATTTTAATGGAAACATGTTGGATTTAATTTTTTCAAACCTTAACATTGACATCTCAGTTAAACACTCTGATCCGCCTCTCCTACATCCTCATCATCCGGGACTACACATGACTTTACAATTTCCTCTTCGCCTACATACCGATCAGTTTCCTTCTGCAGCAAACTCTTGTTACAACTGGAGGAAAGTTGACCTTTTTAAGCTCTATAATGATCTTCATAACATCAATTGGTCAGTTCTTAAACAAGCCGTTGATGTAAACGTAGCGGTGGACACCTTTTATTCTAAGCTCTATATGACCATGGATTTGACTGTTCCTAAGTATCGGCCTGCTTCTTCGAAATTTCCTCCTTGGATATCTCCAAAGATTAGACGTGATATTAGAACTAAAGACTTTCTAAGACGTAAATGGAAGGAAACAAATAACCCAGAATACTATAACGAATTTAGAAGGCTCAGAGCAAGAATTAAAATTCAAATTTCCAATGGTTATCGATCTTACGTAAGTCGTGTAGAACAAAACGTCAAATCAGACCCATCACAGTTATGGAGTTTTCTGCATCTCAAACAGGGCACATCCAGAATTCCTACCCAACTAATAGACAATGCCAACAATAATTTCACGGAACCTCAAGCAATAGTCAATGCATTTGCTACGACATTTTCAAAAGTTTACACTAGATCCAACCAAATTTTGGAATTACATCAAAACTAAACGCAATCAAAAACGTATACCCAGTAATATGTACTACCGAGACAAAGTTTGTAATAATCCACAGGATATACTCGATGCTTTTTCACAATTTTTTAGTAGTACCTTTATTAACTCAAGGCCAACTCCACCTCAGAATTATACACATAGTCCTGCTGATGTTATTATCCGAGAAATTACGGAAGAAGATATTCGCACAGCTGCTAAAAAACTTAGTAGTAAATTTACTTCTGGAGATGATGGAATACCATCATTCATCGTGAAGGACTGCATTTCTGTATTTTCTAAACCCTTATGCACAATATTTAACCCTTAGATCATATAATAAATAGATACCACCATGCCGTGTTCTTTCCCTAGGACAGCCTGTGACGACATCCTCCTGTCACACATCTCTCTCGTGCATGGAGGGATTACAATGAAGCTATCCTTGCCTGATCACTATTTGAATTTTGCGCGCCTAAATTTAAGGAAGTATGTCTGAACTAACTTCGGAAGAAAGATGTTGACAGCTTGATTTTATAAATAATTCACAGTAGATAACGAAAGCAATAGTAAATTATTGGGCAGCAATTGTGATCCTTTATGACTACATCACTTAAAATAGGATCTTTGTTCTAAATTCTAAAATTGTTTTTTGTACAACAACTCGAAAGAGAGGTTAGAAGAAACATCTGTCAAAAGCGACTTGTTGCGCTGGTGCGGCACAAGGATGGAAGTGAAATAGACATATACAGATGAAATGCGCATAACAAAGATGAAGATGTGGTGATCACACAAGGATAGCATTATACTACTCCCCTGGACGTAGAAAACGACAACAGATAGCTTCATGTCTAGTCACACCTTTCAGTTTGAGTATTGGTATCTATTTATTATATGATCTAAGATTTAACCTATCTTTGCGCACAGGAATCTTTCCTAAAATGTGGAAGGTGGCTAAAATCTGTCCCATACTTAAATCCAGTGATGCGGAAATAATCTCAAATTACAGGCCGATTTCAAATATCTGCAACTTTTCAAAATTATTTGAAATTGTGTTGTATAATCACATTTATTTTCAAATAAAAAACACTATTTCCATCATTCAGCATGGGTTTGTAAAAGGCCGATCCACGACAACTAATCTATTCGTATTGGTACAGTATTTATCGGAGGTGTTAGACAGAAATGGACAGGTTGATGTGGGATATTTAGACATTCATAAGGCTTTTGACACCATTGACCATAATTTACTCTTACAGAAATTAAGAACTATGGGTTTCTGCGACACATTGCTGTTGCTATTTACTGACTACATAAGTAATCGGCAACAATACGTTCAGTATAATGGATTTACATCTAAGATGTATACCGTTAGATCGGGTGTACCTCAAGGTAGTAACCTGGGTCCCTTATTATTCCTAATTTTTTTAAATGATTTTCCTATTTCTCCATCTACAAGGCTTCTTTTATTTGCTGACGACATAAAGATTTTTAAGGAGATCAATAATTTGGATGATGCGTACGACCTCCAAAGGGATATGGACAGAATTGTGGAACACTGCACATTAAACCGATTCGAAGTAGCCCAAGACAAATGCAAGATAATGACGTTTACCAGAAGAAAGTGTATCACGTTGTACGATTATAAAATCAACAGCAAATTACTTTGTCGCTGTGAGAGTATTACTGATCTCGGAATTATATTTGACACCCCATTGTCCTTTGTGGAGCATATTAACAACTCGATAAATAAAGCGTTCAGGTTCTTAGGATTTGTTATTCGAAATTCACATGATTTCTGGAATAGTAATTGTATTAGTGTTTTGTACAACTCATATGTGAGATCAATTTTAGAATATGGTTCCATCATTTGGTCGCCAATATACGATGTACATATTGACAATTTGGAAAAAATACAGAGACGCTATTTAAAATTTCTCGCATACAAATGTGACAAAGTCTATCCTGAAAGAGGTTGTCCTCAATCTGAATTGCTGAAAAGGTTCCAAATTTTACCATTAAGAATAAGAAGAGAAAGGACGTCTATAAAATTTCTGTACAATATCTTACACAACAGGATTGACGCGCCAGACATTCTTGAAAACATATGCTATAGGATTCCGAGTTATCAAGGTAGAACCACTTCCACATTTCATTTGAAGACGCCTCGAACCAATATGTTGATAAAATCGCCGATATACTCAATGTGTAATTTGTTTAACAAGATATCCGCCGACCGTGATATAAACCATGACAAACTCAAAAATATTTTAGAATGTTTCTGTTAAGTAGAAGTAGAATATACACCAATGTTAAGTCTGTGTAGGAAATGTGAGGTTTGTTTAATGTTTTTAATGTATTTATTGTTATTTCTTTTTCGTCCTTGTCCTGTAATTGGAACATGGTTCTGTTTGGACAATAAACGTTATTATTACTAGTGATAATGCCCCATCTATGGATTCTACTGATTGTACTCGCTCATTTACCATTAATTCCGTTAGTGAACAAGATCTCATTATCATTATGTCTAAATTTTCTACCAAACTTACTGCAGGTGATGATCTGATTCCCAGTTTTTTAGTACACGACTGCAAATATGCATTTTCTGAACCTCTCACTATAATAATTAATTTAGCACTACGAAGTAATACCTTCCCCGATCGATGGAAACGCGCAAGAATTAGTCCGATTCATAAAAAAGGCAAATCATCAGCTCTTGATAATTACCGTCCTATCGCAATATTATCCAATTTTGCTAAAGTTTTTGAACAGGTGCTATATGCCCGCATTTATGAAAACGTCCGTTCTTACATCTCACCTAATCAACATGGCTTCATGTCTGGAAGATCAACTATTACTAACTTGGCAGTTTTAACTCAAGAATTATGTGTTACCATTGATAATTGTTCTCAAATGGACGTAATCTACACCGACTTCTCTCATGCTTTTGATACCCTACCACATAATACACTACTTTACAAACTTAGCAATTTTGGTTTGTCCTGTTCACTCCTTGAACTAATTCGTTCTTACCTGTACAATAGGCGCAATTATGTTTTTTATAACGGTTTCAAATCTTTCGAGTTTGTGTCAACATCTGGTGTGCCGCAGGGCTCTAACTTGGGACCTCTATTCTTCAATTTATTTATCAATGATTTACTGCAATCCTTGACTTGTCGTTTGCTGGCTTATGCTGATGATCTTAAAATATTTTCAGGAATATCTTCCAATGAAGACACAGAACTTCTACAGGATAACCTATGTACTATTGCGGAATGGTGTTCTTCTAATGGCCTTAGCCTAAACATAAAAAAGTGTTCCTTTGTTTCGTACACTCGAAAATCAAAACCTGTCTTATCAACATATTTCATCAATGGACACATGTTAGAAAAGCTGGATTCCATAAAAGATCTTGGGATAACGTTTGACAGTCATTTGACATTTGATCTGCACCTTGAAGAAATGTGTCACTCAGCTAATAAGTCGCTTGGTTTTATTATGAGAATATCCAAATTTTTCACTGATACTGGATTGCTAAAATCTTTATTTTCTGCATTTGTATTAAGCAAGTTAGAGTACGGCTGTCTAATTTGGTATCCTTTGTATTTATGTCATCATGCTTTAATTGAACGAATTCATAAGAAATTTCTGAAGTTTCTCTCCTTCAAGTTGGATGGCATTTATCCCCAAAGGGGTACAGATATGGGTGATCTTATACAACGTCATAAAATGTCGTCACTTTTAATGCGACGGGATAAGTTATGTGCAAATTTTTTAGTTAAACTTGTTAATAACAAGATTGATTGCGCCGATTTACTTTTTTGTGTCAATTTTAACATACCGCGAATCTCATCTAGGCACGCAACTACTTTCCGAACCACAAGAGCTCGCACCAACGTCCTCCGCCGTGCTCCAGTTACAACAATGTGCCGTTGCGCCGACAACCTCTTTGAAGACGTGTTTATTTTGAAATAATGTAATTTTTACTCCTTTTTCGTATCCTCATCTAATTTTCTTTTTTTTTATTGCCATTATTAATGTTTATTTAATTGCATAATTATAAATTAGTTAGTTAGTTTTTGTCCTCTAATTAGGTTCATTATGTTAATCTGTTGGACAAATAAATATTATTATTATTATTATATAGTAATTCAAAAGGAGAATAACTTGTCGAAGTATGCGGAGTGGTATTGAAACTAAATGTTGCGTACGGCAAAAACTCATCCCAATTTGTCAAATCTTGATTTATAAAATTTCGCAAATATTCGACTAAAGTTCTATGAGATCTTTCTAAACTTCCGTTCGATTGCGGATGATAACTAGTACAACAAATATGTTTTATTTTTAAAATACTGCAAGTTGTTTTAAAGACTTCACTCATGAAATTACTTCCTTGATCCGTGACTACGTAATTTGGCAATCCGTACTGACAAATAATATGTGTGGTGAAGGCATGAGCTATTGTGTTTGCTTCTTGATTTGGTAACGGAATAGCTATAGAAAATTTGGTTAAGTCGTCGTGAAAAGTAAGTATGTATTTGTTTCCATTTTCGGACTGATTTAGAGGACCTACCACATCTAAAAATATTTTCTCAAAAGGAACTGATGAAGTTGTTGTTATGACCATTGGTAGTTTCGTACGTTTTGAACATTTATTTTTCTGACATTGTGAACATGACCTTATAAATTTCTGAATGTCTTTAAACATATTTTTCCATTTATAGTATTGTCTGATTCTGTTACAAGATTTGTTCACACCTTCGTGACCTCCAGTGGGTGTCACGTGAAATTCTTTTAGTACTTCTTGCACTTCTTCAGGCGTTAGATTATTATGAACATTTTCATGATAGAGGCTAATGCTTACGTTTGTGTTTTTAAAAATATATTTTATCATTGTTCTAACTGTATTGATCTGCAACTGTTCTGCTTTAAAATTTTTAGTAGTAGTAGCCAGTTGTGAAATACCTTTAGTCAAGCAAAAATCTTTCAAATTGAGCAAGGAATAAAACAAATCTTCG